AAAAAAAAAAAAAAAAAAAAAAGATGCTAGGGTCTAAAACATAGCAAATGATGGCAGTGACATTTCTTGCATCTTAGTGTTAAGGTACAAGTTCATACCTGGTACATTGTGGGGTTACTAATAATCTTTGAGTGTTGCACATGGAAATCTTTTGATGCTAGAATTTGAGTCTATTGATTTTGAAGCAATAGCTAAGCTTCTGTTAGGTAACTTATGCAGAAATGTCTGCAGTCTCTCAAAAGTCAGTGGTGATGTGGGGACTGTCAGAGGTCTAGAAAGAGAATGCACAACTGAAATTATTTTAAAAAATGCTTTAATGGGGCCGGAGATTTAGCTCAGTGGTTTTGCTGCCTGCTGCGCAAGCGGAAGGACCCGAGTTCAATCCCTGGTACCAAAAAAAAAATGCTTTAATGCCTGGTATGGTGGTGCATGCCTGTAATCTCAGCACTTGAGAGTTGGAGGCAGGAGGATCACCATGAATTCGAGACCAGCCTCATCTACATAATGAATTCAAGGCCAGCCTGAACTACATAGTTCAAAGAAAAAAAAAAGAATGCTTTAAAAGTTATACAGTGATTTATAGAGAGATTGGTCAAAGGCTCTGGAAGATAGGCAAATTCATCTTAGATGAACATATTAATTTATCTTCAATCCCAGGAGCATTGAGAAAAAATGAGTAGAGAGGTTGAACTTTAAGGTCCCTGTTTAAAGATTTGAACTTATAGTCTTTTCCTGGTAAGTGATTAATGGCACCATAGACTTAAGGTCTAGGGCCCAAGTTTGAAGTCCAACTCATGGGCTACCTTGCTAGAATAGGAAGTTGTACATATAATGGACATGATTAACTGCCATAGCAGGTAACTGAGGATGAGAAAAAGAGTAGTGTCTGGGGATGTCCCAGAAGACCAACCTTTGGGGTCCTCAAATTGAGCAATGCTTAATGATTGTAGATGACTGTTAAGTACTTTAGAATATATTTTTTGCTAATTCTAAAGAAAGCATGAATTAGATGTTA